GTATAAATAAGAAATAAAAATCTTCTGTCTTGAGGTCTGGACCCGGACCCAAACAATTCAAGGAGAGCAACATTTAGATCAGGCAAATCTGAGGCAGTGTATTATACCATACAGTATATAACACGGATCATAGGCAAAAGATATGTGTATGCATCATGAACTATATACTTCGTATAAGATAAAATCCACTCAACTAATCACATAAAAAGCAAACATTTTGTTTAGCCACAAGATTGATTTAGCTTCAAATGATTACAGTACTTCAACTATCTCTTCAAACAAACACAATTTGCAAAAGGATGAATTAATAATTGTATTAGTAGCCAATGGCTATGATCTGGCAACTGGCTCCAGTGCTTCAATAGTTACGACGCTGTTTCCCCGAATAACCTGAAAAAAAATTTTACTTGAAAACTTTTACAAATGTATTTTTTGAAGAAAAAACAGTAAGGGGTGAACTTAATGAGGATAGACTGGATAGTGACAGTCTACTCATTGTAATTATTCATATACTAGTACTATTGAAGGTATTATAAAGGGTGACTGGCTACTAACCACCATGCCAATATCATTCTTTTCATTGCCACTGACTTCCTCTGTGTTTTCAATGACTAAGTTCATGAACTGATCAAACCCACGGAGAGTCCCAACAACCATGCGACTGGCATTCAACTTAACTGTACAAGAATTTAGAATCATTATACCAATGGATCTTAATCGAAACGATTATAGCTCACAAGGAGTTTAATGCATTTTCATACAGATAATTGCTCAAAGAGAGTAAATCTTAAAGGACAGAACAAATGAGTTGCTATGTTTTGATAAGCAGTTCCTGTTTATTCGGGATTTTATAAAGGCCTATGGGGTTCTTGTAAGCTGCATTATTTAACTCATTAATTTAATACAAAGTGTTTTAACAAATTTTGGTATAATAAAGTTATAGATATATAATTGGAGAATGCAGGCCAAAAATAGGATCTTGTAATACTTCTCAAATGAGATGATACACAAATTAAACATGAGAAAAACCTACGCCTAGTCAGAACCTGAGAGTAAATACATAGTATAAACCCTGATTACAGGTTTTAAACAGTAACGAAGAAAAATTTCACTGAGATATGGAGAAAAATCACGTACTCTGGAGCTTCTTGTCCATGTACCTGCAGAATATTGGTGAAAAGATAGAACAACAAAATTAAGATCCCAATTCTTCATAATGCAATATATGTAGCACAGAGAGGAACGAAACGAATAGCGAAGGAAAACAGGCTCACTTTTTGAGATCCGGAGGTTGACCCGATCTACTCATGGCGACTGCGCTTCCTGTTTCGTATCAAAAAAACTCAGACAAGAGAGAGGAGTGAAGAAGATTAGGCTTTCCTCCGTAGTCCGTAGTACTCCTCCGCTCTTTCAGTTTGGGATGATGAATGTCAAAATGACATGCTCCTGGCCCAATTGACATCGCAAGGTTCGCAGTACGTCTTTAACTGCTTTGGACTCGGCCCATCATTCGCCAAAGCCTTAAACATTATTCCTTGTTTTAGAAAATTAGCAAATGCGCCTTTGACAATTTCTTTTTTTTTTGGTAGCATAAATCATAAGAAGATCCAGAATCATTCTTAACTCTCAAAAACTCAACCAAAATTCCTAAAAGATGTTGATTTGAGTTATTCAAGTACTCTGCTAAGTTTCAACTGTCATTAATACATCATCCCACACAAGAAATTGCTCTTAACTACTGTTTGGATATTTGCGTGTGTCGTTCAATTCACAACAAGAAACTAACTCCCAAATTGTTGCTCTAGATTAGGCAAAACAATGTGTGGCAACTCGAGTTGGCCTGTTTGGATATTTGCGTGTGTCGTCCAATTCACAACAAGAAACTAACTCCCAAATTGTTGCTCTAGATTAGGCAAAACAATGTGTGGCAACTCGAGTTAGCCTGAGGGCTAGAGGATCATCATTTGAGGAAATCCTCACAAATTCACTTATTTAATGATTTGAACTTTGACCTCCCCTATGGAGAAGATCTTAGGCGTACCAATTGATCCACTTAAACCACCCACACTTGTCAGGCATGGCAAATTCTCTAATTTCAAAATCGAAAGCGATCAACAATAGCACAACTCGATCGAGTTGGTTTTATACTTTAAATAATATGGAGTATCAACTACTACTCGTAAATCAATAATATTGTGTGATCTAGACATAATTATTAATAATATCAACTATTTAAGTGTATGATAAAAGAGATATGTAGTCACTTTCTTGCTATAAATTTAGCAGATCGTATACCGTGCAACCGTCCCACCATCAGCATCATGCCCTCACTCCCAAAACGATATAGTTTTAGACAATTTAAAAAAAATCGCGTGAATAGTACACGCGTGTACAATGACTTTTTTTGTCCCAGTAACATGGATGATGTAACTCCCGTGTAAAGATATATAACTCGAGTTATTGATCAATGTAACTCAAGACCATCCAAAATAAAACTTGTCAAATATTGATTTCAATGTAAACAATGAAAAAAAGAGTCTAATTGCACAATTGTTTTAGGTAAAACGTGAATATGTTTTGTTTTTATATCATAGCTGATGGAGTATATGGCCCAGGGACCCCCGGCCCGCGTACTCCTACGTCTCCTAAACAGACCCAATAACCCCAATGAACACATGAGGCCCCCAATACTACGACCCAAGCATGAGGAGGCACATAATACACATGACGATGTCTTCGGCTCTATGGTCGGGGGCTTCAATTTCCAGAAGACAGCTGGACTTGGACATGCGAAGCTACTGGGAGAAACTGACAGAAAGCAGTAGCCTTCAGCCCCAGGACCCTTTGACACATATATCTAAGTCGAAGGGTCACCACTTAATGAAGCTTCCTCCTCTGAAGACAAGCAACCACCACATTCAATGCGGCGTCACGTCCAACCACCGCATTTAATGTGGTGCACATGCAGATGCCGGTGCCATCCCGATTGAAATGACCGACCCTCAGCCGTCGGATGGTTGACACGTGTACGCGCCTAGCATTTATGGCTGCTATAAATAGCAGCCCTTTTCCCCCTTGTAAAGCATCCAAAGTTCATTTTATATACTGACTCTCTCTCTGACTTGCTTGCTCTGACTTCTCTCTAGATATTTCTTATAATATCCCTCGTACAAGCTACCTCCCGGGTACACTATCCATCAATAGCCATAATTTTTTTTCCAGAAAAGATCTTTTTTTTTTGTTTAAATAGCAGGGGTTGATTTTTTAATGTAACCCGGGTTATTACAAATGTAACTCGCGTTGATGGCAAATGTAACTTGGATGTATACAAAATGTAACTTGTTGGGAAATTGAACAATGATTTTTTTTTTTTGCGTTTGAGATATTATAAACATTGATTTCAATGTAATCAATGAAAAATTGATCCTACTAGCTTAATTACTTTTTTTATAAATAGTGAATATGTTTTATTTTTAATATTAGGGCAATAAAAATGATATAGCTGGAGTTTATTCCGTGGTGTAACTCGCATACATTAAGATGTAACTCGCGTATATTAAGATGTAACTCACGTACATTAAGATGTAACTTGCGCAAGAGAAGATGTAATTTCATGATATATTATCAAATGTAACTTCAAGAATCAAAATAAACAAACTCAATGTCTTAAAAACCTCTAAAAAATTATAAATTCAGTAGTAATTTCAATTGAAGAAATGAAGTAAAAAAGTAGTGTATGATTTTTTTTTGGCAAAAGTAATGCATGATTATTAATGCATTGTACTTATTTTATGTGGATTAAGAAAAATTTGTAATAAATTTGTAAAGAAAAAAGTTTTTTCAATTACAATTTAATTAGTTAAAGATGAATATCAGAAAAATCAAAATTAGTTTTTAATATTTAGATGGAGAGAAGAAAATAATTGAAGAAAACAAAAAAGAAAAATAAAGAGATAGTGCTCCAAAAAAGATCTGGAGGCTTGAGTCTTGAAGGAAAAGAAAAGAAACGAACTTAGTGCTCGAGAGAAAAACGGAGAAAAACGATGCCGTGTTTGGACCGGCATACCATGCGCATGGTATGCCGGTCATACGGTATAATTTGTGTAAATTTAACCATTTTCCTGATTCAACTATAACTTCACACGTTTGAACAGTTAGATGCATCAAATTTCAACATCACCCAATAGACTCTTGTTTTTTTCCGCAAAAAATAAGATTTTATTAATAAAAAGGAAGAACATTACAATCGCTGATGACAGAAGAAAACAAACGAGAGTAGGAAAATAGTGAAAGACTATTTATTAGAGCGAGTTTGTTGAGGAGTTTAAATGGTTTTACAATGCGTTTAGCAACGTAAATTTGCGGTGGCTTAACAAAATCGTGTTAATAGACTCTTGTTTTTTTATGAAAGTTAAAAAATAAACGGAGTAAATACATTTATGAATTTGATGATAGGTATGAATATACTTTATCTTAAATAAACTTCATACTTTTCTTTTTTAATAAGTCCAAAATAAATTTCACACTATTATTTTTGGAAAGTTTTTAATATAAAGTTAATCCTCTACTCTTACTTTATTACATACTTTACACTCACTTTCTTTCTCCCACTAAATTTTATCTACTTTTTGTAGGGATATGATGAGAAAGTAAAAAACATAACATTTCACTTTCTTATAATTTTGATTTTATGAAATAATAAATGGTGCAAAAATCAATTTTTTGAAATAAGCAAGGTTGTGATCGATTACTTTTTGAATGCGCTGATTGAAATTGATAAAAGTACTACGTAGTATTTTATTTATTTTCATCCATTTATTTCTTTATATTATTTCTAAAATAGACTTTAAGTATATTTTCTTCACCACAACTCAACATTTCAGTCAATTTAGTAAGAACTTCCCTCATTTAAACAGATTAGCTAATTCAATCAATTTCGATGTTAGCAAATGGACTCATAATAATGGTTGATAAAACAAAAAATAAGAGGCATAATTGAAAAACAAACACATAGAGTATATCATAATTACGGTTGTTTTTATTTGGATTTATTTCAATCCTGTATTGAACATAAAAAAATAGACTTCGATAGTTACAAAATACATATCAATTAGACAAGATCAAATTAAAACAAGACCAAATAAAATTAAAACAAACCAGACAAGATCAGAAAAATATTTGAATTCACCTTAAACTTCTTGAAACAGCAATGTAGCCCAAATACACGAGAGAAAGAGAACATATTCCTGGTGGTGGCGCACTTTTCCTTTGGTGCTGGTGAGGGGCTACCATGAAAATACATCCATTTTCATCTCTTGTGATCTGCAAGGTTTTCTTACTTAAAAGAGTTAAAGTGCTTCCCACGCATTCTCCGTTTTTCCTATCTTTCAATTAAAATAATAATTTGGGAATGGGGATTCATTTTGGTGATCTGTTCATCAACTAAATTAAAAAACCGGAGGTTAATTTCTTCCATACTTCCACCAATTTCCCCAACATATTAACCAAGAAGACGATCTGTATATTTAAATATTCTGGATCAATGGGTAATTGTGTAATTTGCATCAAATGTCCGACGAATTCGACGGCCGAATTTACGCCGGCAGCCGTCTTCAGTCACCGGCCCGTCGACGTGGTCAAGCCCGACGACCAGCCAAAGGTCAAACTCTACGGAGCACCGTTCGGCAATGACACCTACTACATTCGATTCGCGCTCATGTACAAGCCAGTCTCCGTCGACTTCGTCGCCTCCGACGGCCACGAAGTGCCGGCGATTGAGTACAACTCCGACGTCGTTTCGGGCTCCGTCGAGAATCTGGTTCGTTACTTGGACGCGACGTTTCCTGAGCCGCGGCTGCTGCTGGCTGGCGGGCGATGGCACGGGGAAATGCCGCCGTCGGTGGCGTGCGTGGTGACTCTGCAGCACCGGAGCATGATTTGGCACCTGGAAAGGATGGTTAAGTGGGCGGAGGAGCTGGCGGCGCGTGGGGGAAAGGCTAGGGGGAATCCGGCGGCGTGCACTCCCCGAATGGAGATCAAGAAATTTGGGAAGAGGTACTCTATGTTGATGGAGGTGATGCTAGAGCACGCTCAAATGGAGGAAAAAAATGTGTTTCCAATCCTGGAAAAAGCGGATCGAGGTATTTATCCTAATTGAGTTTGTATCCTATGCATAATTCTCCCTAATAATAATAATAATAATAATAATAATAATAATAATAATAATAATCCGTAATAATATCAACTTTCGTGATAATGTTTTTGAGAAGGTGGTAATTTATATCAAGTGTTTCTAATAATTTTTCTCCACGAATGCTTTTGAGAATTTCCAATACCAACAATTTAGAGGGTACTCCATTCGTCCCGAAAAGGTTCGTCAACTTTCACTTTCAAGTGGATTAATAAAATAAAAATTGTGTGGTTGAAATTTGTGCAGATGAGAGAGAATTAACTTTAGCCACATATTCTTTACTTTAAATGGAAATGACAAATCTTTTTAGGACATCCAGAAAAGGAAATTTGACAAACCTTTTCGGGACGGATGGATTATTATATTTGCGGTTGCTTCTATTTAAAAAGTGATTGTTTTAAGTGATTTGGATATAGTGTTTTGTAGCGAAAATCGATATTGTTTCAAAATGAAAGTGATTAATGTTAAAAAGCTAAAGTTGAAGTGTTTGGTAAAAATTGATTTTTGATGTAATATTTTGTTAAAGTACACATATATCCTTTTGTAAATTAAATGTGAATTGGGCAATGCAGCGCTTCAAGCTTGCCCGCGCCATAGTCATTGGCGGTGCCACTATATATGAAAGAGTTAATTATCAAAATAGGACTAAAAGTCATTCACTTTGCACAAATAGGACCAAAAAATAAACTATGTTTCCATAGGACTAATTATGTTTGTCTTGGACAAATATACCCTTATACCTATTGGAATGTTTTAATTCATAATAAAATAATAAAAAATAATAAAAATTCGTAAAATATACCAAAAAATTAATAAAAATATTCTGAATAATAATAAATTTTAAAAAAAAAAATTAAAAAAATAAAAAATAAAAAAAAATAAATAAAAAATAAAAAAAAATCAAAAAAATAATTTTTTTGTCACCGCCGCCTATACCGCCCCAGCACCACCACCTCTAGTCATTTGGGGAAAAAATGCCAAATTTATTATGAATTCCATATTTTTGGCATAATTAAGAATGATTTAAGATGGAAGAAAAAAAATGTTGGCATTCTCAAAGAGAAATATGCCATATTTTTGGCATTTTCTGAAAAAAAATGGAAGTTTGTAGGAAATATGACATTTTTTTTTAACGGTCGGAGGTGGTGGTGCAGGGAGGCGGTACCACCACCTCCTGTCACCGGGGTAAAAAAATGCCAAAAAAATTATGAATGCCATATTTTTGACAAAAGTCAAAAGGATTCAAGTTGGCAGAATGAAAATGTTGGCATTCTCATAGAGAAATATGCCATTTTTGTGGAATTTAAAAAAAAAAGTGGCATTTTTTACACCGATCGGAGGTGGTGGTTCAGGGAGGTAGTACAGGCGGTGGGAAACGTATCCATATTTTTTTTAATTTTTTTTATGGAGTTTTACTATTTTTTTATTAATTTTTAAAATAAAAAAAAATAAACAAAAAAATTTTTTTCTTATTTTTTATTTTATAAAAATTTTATTAATTTTTTTATTATTTTTCTACGAATTATTGAAATTTTTTCGAATTTATTATGAATTAAACATTTAATTATGACTTTTAGCTATCTTTTACTAATATTTAAAGGAGGGGTAAGAATGGAAGAAAGAAATGAGTATGTTTCCAATAGGACCACTATGGTCCTATTTTGGAAAAAAAACATAACAAGTCTTATTTTGAGTTTTTGCCATAGTTTTAGTCCTATTTGAAGTAATTTCTATATATGAAAAGTGTTCTCTTGAACACTTAGATTTTTGAAATGTCTTAGAATATATGTGTAAATTCAAGGTAACTAATTATTGTTGTTTAAAGTTTTAATGGTAGAAAAAAATTGAACACCCAAAACCCAAATCGTCAATCCGCCACTGGCCATAGTAGATGGTTGCTTCCTCTGTCGTCATCAGGAACTCTTGACGAGGAGACCCACTCATCCCACCACCCCATATTGTTCCCATTCTCTTTAAATTTAATTTACTTTAATTGTCAATGCTTTATCTTCTTCCATTTTTCTTTCATCGTGGAACCTAGTTTGATTCTTCCTGATTTTCTTTGCCTGGAAATTGAATATAGAAATTCAGGGATGTATCTTTACATTGGATATGGTTTCTCTGTCTAGATTAGGGTGCCTGGCTAATTATGGTCGTCCGATGCGATATTTGGCAATCCCAATGCGCTGCTCCTTTCTTCTTTGCCGTCCAATTTAAGCCAAGGACCCTGTCGTGCGGCAGAGGATCCTGATCCCTTTAAATTATGGCTTGAGTCTTGATATGTCATGAAATTTGTGAAAAGTGAAAACTGTGAATAAGCATCGATTTAATCTCGAATTTGGAGATGAAAATCTTGCTTGCAATCCAGCTTAAGGTACACACTTTTCATATACACACTTACACACTCATGTATGTGTAGGTTTTTTTTTGCATGTATACGGACACAACATATTTTCAAATACGTTATGTCTGTATACAGACAAAAAAAAACCTACACAGACATAAGTGTGCAAGTGTGTGTATGAAAAGTGTGTAACAATAACATTTTTTATCTTGCTTGTGATTGCGGTCGTATATATGGAAAAACATGGGTACTATTGAAATGATTGACATTGACATCCATCTTGCTTGAGAGTTAAGATGTTAGAGTGGTTCTGGATGAAGCTACTGAAATGGCGAAACATATTGTAATAGACGAAGAGTGTTTTGGGTTTGGCTGAAAATGTTTGTCATTATAATTATCCCTGAAGTTCATTTAATTTAAATTACAAAAATACCTAGAAGTAGATAGAAGTTGGTATATACCATCTTCCAATTAACTTTTAGCTTTAAAGTGACTTTTTAATTACAAGTTGGTAATTGTAAACATTTTCTTTAGCTTTTTTAAGTTAAAACTTGAGAAATGTTTTTGTAGTTGTTACAAACATTCACTTAGAGCCCGTTTGGTAGCACCAAAATCGGCTGTTTTGGCTGATTCTGCTGAAATTTATGATATTCTGGCTGGAGTGGCTGGTTTGGCTGATTCTGCTGATTTAAGAAAAAAATATTTTAAAAATATATTTTATTAATAAATTAAAGAAAAAATTATATGTAAAAATAGCTAAAATAGTCCTCTACAGTAACTTCAGCCAATACAGCCAGAAAAGTAACTCCAACCTTACTTTTTCGGCTTATTACACAATTCAGCGCGCGAAAGTAAAAGTTACGTGTTTGGTGAAAAAGCTGGCTGATAAGCCGAAAATAGATTCTCCAAACGGGCTCTTAATATGATAGAATAAGTTACTGAATGGTGTGGAGAGAGATAAAAAATGGAAGAAAAATTTAGTACTATGTATAATTATTTTCAAATCCACTCGATCTTGTGTCTTAATATTTTAATAGTCAAAGTATGTCATTTTATAGTAGAGTAAGCTAAATTAAAAGGGGACGTGAATTAGTAGACATTGAGATTTGTGATTATTATTACTCCGTATTTTAATAGTCAAAGTGCGTATTTTACGACTTGCGAAGTTTAATTTGGTCTATAACTGAAATCAGTCCGAACATAAACATTCTTAAATACTACACTCAGTTGATTTGAATCGACCGGCTTTGAATCGAACTGAAATCAATCCGAACACTTCAGTCATCTAAATCTTCTTCTTGTTAGTTGATTTGAATCGACCGGCTTTGAATCGAACTGAAATCAGTCCGAACACTTCAGTCATCTAAATCTTCTTCTTGTTAGTTGATTTGAATCGATCGGCTTTGTGGGTACAATCATACAAATATGTGCTATAGATGACTGAATAATGAGATGGATACAGGACTATGCAAATTCGCAAATGCAAACCACGCGATGGATCTTCCGGTAATGAATGGAATCCAAGAAGACATCAAATCCATTGTAGTTTTGGATCCCAAGAAACCAATCTATCGAGAGGCCATTTCCAATCTTTCTAAACGTCTCAAAACCTTTAAGGTACGTACCGTTATGTATTTGCATTTTGGACGTGTCATGATCATTTCAATTAAAAAAAAACACAACAACTAATGTCTAAGGAGCAGGGGCGAATCCAAGAATTCGGGATATCATGGGCTGAAAAACAATTATACTATGCTTATACATTAGCGAAATGAGCCAAATATGAAAATTTGAGAAATTTACACTAATAAAGTTGAGAATATTTTAAGTTGCCCTGAGCTTCAGCCCACCGTAGCCTATACATAGATCTTCCCCTGGGACTTAACATAGGCAGAACAATTAAGTGAGAAGGTGTAAATTGAATTTGAATCACAAGTTGACCGATAGTAAGTGAGACTCTGATTTAGGTACTTCATTTCAATTAAAAAAAAAGAAAACTAATTGAATATAATTTTTCATTTCAATTTTAAGGGATGGCCCAACATAAGATCGATAGGATAATTATATATTAATATTTATATATTTGTATAAGTATATGAATAATCAACAAGAATAGTACGGACTATAGTGAAAGATAATTTCTTTCAATTAATACATTTCGTTGTATGAGGAAGAAATGAGAGATGTTCAGTGTTGTGGAAGCTTGCCTTCAAAATTCAAATGAGAGCGGGGCGTGTTGGGTTCCCTCCTCAATTGAGAAGTTAATGAGAATTCTAGAATATTACGGAGATGTCTAGAATTCTCTAGATGTGTGTAGAGAAATATTGAATGTTCTAGAATATTCCGGAGCTTTCTAGAGAGACGTGGAATTATCTAGAAGCGTGTGAAAGAGTGTAGAATATTCTAGAACATTGTGGAGTTTTCTAGAGAAATGTGGAATTCTCTAGAATCGTGCGGAAGTTTGTGGAAGCCTCTAGAACATTCTGAAGCAGTGTGGAGTTCTCTAGATCCTTCTAGAAGATTAGAGAAGCTTGTGGTTAGTTCTTGGAAGAATCTAGAAATGTAGTGATGTATAGAAAGTTCTAGAGAAGTTTTGAGAAGAGTAGTATAAATAGGGGTGACACTCTTCATTCCAGGTGAGCCTCTAGAGTGAGAGCCATGAGGAGGTCCTAGAGTGAGAGACTAGAGAGAGTCTCCTCAAGTGATGAGAGAGAGATCCTTGAGGAGGGCTATTGAGTAAGTGAAGGCCTCCTCTAGAGAGGGATGTGAGAGTGAAGTAGTCTCATACAAAGAGTGATGTGAGCTACCCATTTACTTGTAAAATATCTCTTGTACATTTTAATTGTATAATACAAAGTGATATTGTAAGATTGAATCTTTGTGTTACGAGTGGGTGGGTAAATGTACAAGAGTCCTTTGAGCTGGTGATCCTGGAAGAGGTCGGGGGTCGTGTTTTCCCCAACAGGGCGCCACTCTTATAAATGAGAGCTATGTTGCACGGATACGGATACGCCGATACGCGGATACGCAGATACGGGTACGGCGATACGGCACTTTCAAAAATTATAGGATACGGGTACGGAGGTATATCTATAAATAATAATAAAAAATAGGGTATAATTTGCAAATATATATAATTCAGGGGTTCATAAATAAATTAATAATAGTACAAAAAATTAACTATTATAATAAAGTTTCAAAGATTAGTCTAAAAAAACTAAAGTATTGATATTTTGATTTAAATTCAAATAACATTTTTTTGTTCTCTATTTGCATTTACATCCAAGTCTTGTTTCAATTAAAGCTCATCAAGCAATGAAATGACAATTTATAGTATTCCATTATTTTCCATACTCCCGAAATCATCCTTACCAATGTTCCACATGTTGTGGTAGCTTGGGCGGCTACTAAATTTTCGTCATGTCGTGTATCAAATGAGGGGTTATAGGTTCAGATACGCGTATCGGTTCATGGATACGGGTATCGGAAGTATCAATATTTTTAAAATTAAGCCTGATGCTTTTATTAAATTACGGATACGGACCCAATACGTACAGGACGCGTATCGGTGAGTATCGGATACAGATACGTATCGGATACGCGGATACGGCATCAAGGTGAAGTATCGGTGCAACATAGGATGAGAGGCAGACAAATAAATACAGAGAACATTCAAGCATAAGTACGCTAATCATTACAATTTAATAAACTAACTATTACTTCCCATGTCTCTTAAACCTTACCAAGTTTGACCGACACAAGGATTAATAAAGTAAAAAATGTGTGATAGAGGTTTGTAAAAAAGAGAGAGAATTACCTGAAACCACAAATTCTTTACTGAAAAGGAAAATTGACAAAGTTAGAGGAACAAGTGAACAACCAAAAAAGAAAAATTGACAAAGTTTTTAGGGACGGAAGGAGTATGTTGTTGGGTGTGTTTCGGAAAATAAAGAAAATTAATTAAAATAAATTAATTAAAATAAAATGACTAGCGAAAAACAAGAAAGGAGATGAAGCAGAATTAGTCAAAGCTCGTGCGTACGTATTTGTTGCCTCCCACGGTGCTAGGAGCGTTGAAACAATCGTTTCCCAGGATACGATGACTGCGAACTAATGTTTGAGCACACAAACAAAAGTCCCAGCGAACGAGAACACAGTATGAACACAGAGGAATTTTTCAGAATGCTAGCAGTGTGTTTTTAGGGGTGCAAAAGGTGCTTGGAGTGTATGAGTTCGTGTGTTGTTGCAAACCACCTGCCAGCCATTATATAGGAGGATTTGTTGTGTGTAAATGGTGAATTAATGGACCTGAACGTTGGACATCAATGACCAGTCCGTATCTCTTGAGAGATAGATTTTTGGAAGACATTCGTGTCCGCAGGTCGCCCGCGCTCGCAAGTCGCGGTTTTTCTTCTCCGATTTCGGGATTTGATTTGCACCCCCCGCTGGGCGCGTGGAGAGAGCCTCTACCCTAAGGAATCTTAACTCCTTAAGGGGGGAGTCCCTTTATAAAGGGTTGCAAATCCCTTGGGTTTTCCGGTGTGGGAAATTAACACTAGAAACCCATCCTTTTTCCCAATTTTTCCATTCTAACGGGTAAACTTCGAAAAGTGATTTCTCATTCACCCGTTATCCGTTTTGAGCGTACCATATATCGAATTGTAGCCCTTAACAAGGACAATCCGAAACCACTTTGACCCGACCCAAATCAGAAGTGGACCCCACTCAAAAAATTGCCCCAAAATAGCCATTTAATGCAATTTTTCACACATTTTTCCAACATATGTAATATTATAAATTAAACTTGATCATAATTAAGTATTAGTCCGTTGTGTATTAAAGACTCGCTCATGGTGATAGTTGAAACTTTCCGACCCAATGTTGGGTTCGGTCTTCTCTAGGATACTCAGCCGAGGCCTCGGCTCAGTATTCCTATATGCCTGGGCTCATAACCTATAAATTAAATTGATCGGTCTGGCCTCAAAAATTAATTAATTATATCAATGATGTCCTTACCTGAAAATCCGAATAAAAGGAAGCTAGAGTTGTATGGTAGCTTACTTTCTTTCATATATAGTATCTGATCGATTAAATGGCAACATTCTTAACATAAATGTTCTTGGGAATGTTAGTGTTTGGCAATATCTCAGAGTTATTATAGGGCCTTTTAAAAGAATTGTTCTTCATCTTCCCTATTGACTAATATGAAAAATAAGTCCTTCTCATTTCATTTCAATTGCTTCTAATATTGGATATCTAAAAGCGCATCTTAATTGTAATGGTAATTTAAGATACTACGTATTATGAACTTGACATCCAAGCCACATATATACATGGCAGGAGGACTCAAGGCAACACTTTGGGGAGGAAGAAAAGAAGTTACTGCCACTATTATCAGAAGCTGCTGAACTGGGTAAAATGAAGCAAGCCAGATTTGTGGGGCAGTGTTTGGACTCAATGCAAGGAACACACTCACGTCTCTTCCGTTTCTTCATGGAGGGCTTCCTTCCTGCGGACGCAATGCAGTATTTGAACATCATTGCCAAGTGCAGTGACAAAGAGAGAGTGTCAAGGCTTTTCAGGTTGATTGTTGAGAAAGAGAATAGCTTAGGTTGGGCCATTGGCAATCCATTGGCATAGACTTTATGCTATTCATTTATTCATTGTTTGCTAGAAATGGTAGGTAAGAGTTGAAATCTTTTCATTACATTAATCAATTTATTAACATTTGACTATTCAAAATGTGTGATACACAGTGGTCCATGAGAAGTGTACTATAAGCTCTAAATGTCATAACTTTTGCTCGGAGCATAGTTTAATTGGCTGACAGGGTGTACTAAAAGATGAAGCTGCCGGGTGGAGACACTTCTTCTTGTTTGCAAAATGCATATTTGAATAGAGAGAGGCTAAGGATGAATTATACTTATAATCACTATAAAGATTTAACAAACTTAAATAGTTAAATGTATATTTATTTTTAATTATTTATCTTTCAAAATCTCTCAATTTGAGACTTAAAAGTTGAGTATTTGAAAAGTTTTGAAGGGTAACCAAGGTCCTCCAAAACATTTCCTTCCAATTTTCTATACTCTCAAACAAGATATAAGGGGTCATAAACCCTCTTAACCCTTCCCCTCCCATTGTGAACGAAAGGTAATCGCTCTCGACATCATTCGCACCGTCACATTATGAAGCCTAGAAACTACGGACCTCCGCACGACAACAACTCCTCCCGTGCGAAGCACCTTCGGCCAGCAGGAGTGGGGGACTACCCATCGGCCTCTTCCTCCATAAAGCAGAACGTGGAAAAAATGCAAACTTCAAAAATCCGAATATTCAAGTAATCCTCTTTGCCTTGACTACCTTTCGACAAAGGGGGACTTCTGATGGAGTATATGGTCCAGAACCCCCTGGCCCACATACTCATGCAACCCAAACATATGCCCTCAGTGGGACCCCTCACAGGCCCTCAATGGGACCCCTCGACAACCCTTTGGTAGCACTACCCCTTAATGACCCTTTGGCAGCACCCCTTGATAAACCCTCGGTACCACCCCTCGACAAGCCCTCAGCGACCCTTCAGGCTTCAACAACACCCCGCGGTGGCTCTCAGACAGCTCTCAGCGGTACCCCCGGTCATGAGCTCTCACCAATGAGCCCTCGACACTTTAGTACACCCATTCACAGATTAGCTTTTTATGTAATTGGGTCTGGTAGGCCCAACCTAGCAGCCCAATCCACATTTCGTTTATATATACTCCCCTTTGGGAACCTTGTAAAGGATTGTTAATTATTATACATTCTCACTTTCTCTCTAATTCTCTTTTCTCTATAAAATAATACTACGTATATATATGACTAGTGGTATCCTGGTATCACAATCTATCACATACCTTTGATCTCTTACTTCAGAAGACAATAAAATAAAATTTGTATAGTTAAAGTTTGGATTTTGCTCAACAAGATGTTCTTACACTTAGTTAGATGTTGATCTCACGTTTGATCAACCAAGTTATGAATATAACTTGATCAACTCTCTAAAGAGAGCCTCGAGTTGATTTGCATTTTATCAATGTCACAATAGTCCACTAGAAAAATTCATACAGTAGTATATTTTTTAGACATGAGTAATTACTCTTCGGAAAAAAAAATTCATACTAGTATCTGTTACCGTTATTACTCTCAAAATATCGTGGGATATTTTGTTTGTAATGAAATGTACAATAACAACAAGAAAATAAAACAAAAAGGGTTTAGCAAATTAAACTGGTTCGATTCAAGCCAGAAATACAAAAAGAGTAGCTCCATACAAGAGGGCTGTCGTATATAATGGCGCGTGATTCTTGCCAGCGGCGGCATTGCGATGAGAGTTGCGGCTGGAACTTCCGGCACTTAAGGCCGGCGACGCACGAGGGAAAGATGATCTCCCGCGGCCTCGGGATCCAATTCCTCTAAAGCCCCCACTCGATAGCTTGCTTTTCTCATTTATGGCTCCACCCTTCCAAAGTAGATCTACAAATTTCAAAGTAAAACATGCCCAAAAGTTTAGAGAAAAATTAGTAGTACAGCCAGGGGTGGAGACAGGGAGGGGCTGGAAGGGGCCACGGCCCCTGCAAGAAAAAAAATTCTTAAGTATATATTATGTATAAATACTTTTAATCTATAGAAAGTATGTTGATATTTTATATGTTGGCCCCTGCAATGTAAAATTGTTAAGAACTGGCCCCTCTAACCCTAAATGTCTGGCTCCGCCACTGAGTACAGCATTCACACACACAAAAAAATACGAAACCTAACAAGTTTTGTCTCTTTTAGTCACTGCATTCAAGGATGTTTTTACTTTAAATAAGTTCCTGAGCAAAACAAATCATAGTAGACTCACACAATTATAAGACATTTATGATTTATCAGACCATTAAAATTAGATTTAAATAAATCAGACCTAATCAGATCAGCTCAAGCCATAAAATTTCAGTCTAATTAAAAACATTCTAGGAGAAACTTACCTTGCGTTCATTAATAATGGAATAGCTTTTGGGTGATTCAAGAATAAACTTCCATTACTTTCAAGAATAGAAAAACATACAAAGAATTTCTAACTAAAAATTTTTCTTGATAACTGGTCTAACATTTTGATAATTGAAAAGTTATATGTGAGCGTAGCTTAACTGGTAGATAGAGCGTGCCACAAAGGGTAAGTCTCAACTTAAAGTTCAACTTACACCCTCCAAGCGAACTGTCCAGCCGGTGCTGGGGTCCTCAAGGATGAGCTGTCTATCCATTTATTAGATAAAAAGTAAATAGGGGAAGCTAAGAGAAAAGTGTGAGAAAGTTTGAAAGAAAGATTCAATATAATGGGTGAAAAAAATGAATCCTATGCGCAACATTTGTCATTCATAGACTTTGAGAAAATTTCCACAGTTGAATTGTTCAAGTCATTCATAAATTGTCTCCTTTGACCAAGACATTTGTTCACATTAAAGACATATTCACATGAATTTACTATTTCCGATATAAAATCGAGACCCCAAGCATATAAAGTTACGAGATTAGTCGGCAAAATCTGCCAATAAAGTGCAAAAAGAAAGTCATTTACTAATTACTAATTAAGTAGAAAATGAGATGAAACATACCCGAAGTTGAAGAGTTGTTGTTTGGAAGAAGAACACAAGAGCCAGAATAATGTCCGGCGAAGAGAAATAATAGAAAGAAGATTGTTTTTTTGGCTACCATGATGACTGAAATCTTAGCACCTTTTTCTGCTTTCAATTCATGTTATTCTTCTGATCTGAGGTCGATCCTACTATATATAGAGCCCAAATGGCCGGATGTCGGTCCGCAACAGTAAAATTTTCGTGTGGATTACTACACACTAATGGGGCATCTAATTCAATAGCTCCATTCACGCAGTTGACAAGTTCGCATATTACTGACTTCTTCCATCTTTGTAACTTTATCTAATTCAATAATAAAACGAAAGTTTTATGATAACAATTTATGCACAGTTGAGAGATATGATAAATAATAAAAATTAATTTCATAAAAATCAGAAAATGATGAATTTTTTGGGTTAACTAAATGAGAAAAGTTGTTCTAATTATAAGAGAATTTACAAAGCTACAACGTGAACGGTGCATATGCAGCATGCGAGATATAGACTTTTTTTACCCCGGAAGGTAAACCACTCATCAGTGGGGCAAGTGCCGGGGGTCAGTTGCCAGAGTTTTATTGATAAAGGAGATTAAAAAAGAGAGGGGGCATGCGAGAGATAGACACGAATAAATAAAATCATGACTTTTCTCTCTCTCTCTTTCCATGATCTTATGTGTTTTTGGTAAGTTTTTCTCAACAATGTCAATCATAATGTCTACAACTAGACTCGAGCCTATCGATCATTTTTAAATTATAAGAACAACTTATATTTATATCTTAACATTTAAACGTTTTAGTGAAATTTTATAAATTTATTACTCATTATTAAAGATTCGAGTATTTATTGAATAAATCGAACACGAATCTATTAACGAGCATAATTTAAACTTCTACTTTCGAGCATGTTTATAGAAAGTTCGAATCGAATACCAAAAATCTATCGGGCCAAGTTCGAGCTCCATTTAAGTTCGAATCAAATATTCATTTCATTGTTTCGATGTATAATAGTCACGTTAGTTTCATATGTATAATATATTATCATTAACACCGTTAAGTTTTTGTATAAGAAATTATTCTCTAATACTCAATTGTATGTGACATTATGATGTATTAAAAAATTACAAGAATTAAAATTATGAATTACTCCATATATATTAATTCAATGTTTATGACTTTCATGTTATTGGTGTTTTGATTTTTTTTGGGCTAGACTGCAGACCAATTTTTTGTAAACCTATACCTATAATTCAAAAAAAAGTGGGGTGTATGGGCCCCACCCTAACCCCTATTACGATTCGCCCCTGATGTACACAAATAGTGTAAACTTTTTGTATACTTGGTTGTATACGCAGATAATTGCGGACTTTCTCAAAATGAGCTACATATATAGGATTATATACACATGCAACTATGAAGTAGTTCTGTTTGTATTATTCTTATTACTTATTGCTTATTCTTATTTTATTTAGATCAAATCAAATTAGATAAAAAAATATTCAGATCAGATTAGATCACATCAAATCAGAAGCATTCAGATCAGATAAGAAACATTCGGATCAGGTCAGATGAAATCATAATCATTCACATTGGTTATAACATAAAACAAAATGAGAATGGAATAAAAAGTTACCGAATCTCTTTTCCCCCTCAAAAGACAACACCTAGCCATCCACCTACCATTAAATCCACATGACAAAACATGACCGAGTGAGCCTACGGTTGGACATCTATGATCTGTGATCTATCTGCCTTCTTTACTATTTCGATTTTTATAAATGTATGATCTTTCTTTCAAAATAAATAAATAAATAAATGTATGATCTCAAATATGCGTATTAAGGACTTTAAAATGAAAGTTATAAGGCACGAATGACTGAAAAAATCAGTCTATGAATTAAATTTTTGTGATATTTTCTTTTCAAATGTTTTAATTTTTATTAATTTTATTAAACTAATAAACATTTGTGAAGAAAAAATCATCAAAAGTTAGCATCAAAATAAAAAAAATGAAAGAAACATAAATTTATGATATTTTAGATCTTTGATTAATAGTTTTCAATCATTCAAGCTTTGTAATGACAATACTAAAATTTTGATCCCTAATGATACCCCCACATATTTTATTATTATTTGAAGCCAGCGAGGAATTGAATCTTTAAAAATTCAAAATTGAAATTGTAAACATTATGACTGAAAAATGTTAAATTGTCTGATTTGAATGATAAAACACACTATGCATATTGAAAGTACATTTCATCAATAAAATAAAGAAAATATCAACGAACAAATTCCAGCTAGGAATGACTATCTAGTCATTGACCGAGTGAAGATGGCGAGTGTTTTACCTAATTATGTCATTGCTTTTGTTGGAAAGAACTTCTAAAGCCTTTTGATTGAGAGGCCATAGGAACGGGTGCAATAAGTGCTTTCCCGTTCAACTATATCCAATTGGGAAAGAAGAACAAGATCTAATACAGTAAAAGAAGGTACGGAAGAATTGATCTGTTGAACGAAAAGAAAGGAAATGAAAGGTAATGCATGCGATAAAAATGGAGGCACGATGAATTAAAAATATAGGAATAGAACGTATGATGTTAAATGACGGATGTGAGGACTTTTAGCAAGAATTGTAGTGCTATTAAAAGGGATCATGTTGTGTTTAATTGGATTGATTTCAATCTCAGAATAAATCAAATCAGATTGAAATAGACTAAACCATATTATTATTAGCCCATATAAGACTTTGACAATAGTAAATTACATATAAAATAAACTTCTATTAGATCAAGCCATATCAGTTCAACATAAACCAAATGAAATTATAAAATTTCAATTCAATTAAAAACATTTATTAAAAACATAAGATACATAGATTAATCCAACAATACCTTTTATTGGAGTTCTTATTGCCAACACCTTTCATTGGAGCTATTATTTGTGAGATTTAAATTATGGCGTGAAGACATTTTTTGATTCCCCACACTTTATTGCACATTTTGATATTTGGATAGAGCTTTGTGGTACTATCATATTTTCTACCATTCTTGGTATATGTTCCTTAGACCTTTTTGTTGTTGTACTTAGGGGTAGACTGGGACGGGTCGGCTCGACCCTAGAGCTGGCCCAACCCGCTACCGTGCAAGCCTGACCCAACCTAGTTGACCGGGAAAAGCCCGGGGCCTGATCCGAATGAAGAAGCTGGCGATACCGAGCTTTGATTTTAGTGGACCGGCCTGACCGGCCCGGGCCCAATCCGGGCTTAAAGGTCAAGAATTCCCAAAATAAAATAAAATTTGGGCTTGGAATTGTTTGGCGTGGCCCGATCCAGTCCCATCCCGAAGCCCACCCAGGTAGCCCGGCTCGGTACCGGTACAAACCCGAGCCGATACCGTGCCTAATAATTTTGGACCCGGAGCCCGGCCCGGACCCGATCCAATCCACCCCTAGTTGTACTTTTTCTCATGCATATAGTATATATGTTTTCTTAAACGCAACTCCTTGACCAGAAGAGGTTGTAAATATGATACATTCTTCCTGAGAGTGTTATAGTGGTGTCATCGAATCACAAGATGTTTGTCTATGTGCTTTCGTCTTTAACTTCACTTTTTTGAGCATGCACATTAGCATATTACTATAAAATAATTTTTTAAAATATAAGTAAAACATGAATAAAATCCACGGATATCTAAACGAATTATGTTTTCAAAACAAACTTATACAACAGTATAATTCTATTAAAACAACTAGATTTTCACCCGTGCTTCGCACGGGATGCAGTTAGTAAGAAATAAATTATTTGCGAATATATAGAAATATTTAGATAAAAATAGATCAATGCATATATTATTTTTTACAAAAGTCAATGAAGAAAAAAAGAAATTACAAATTATTATACAAAAATAGAACATTTACAGTCTTCTCTTGGTAGGTTTTCCGTCATCATCACATATTATAAACTTCAATCGAAACGGGGTCGTTGCTCTTGAGACCGCAACGTAAAGTTGTTCACTTGTTCATGCATGGGTGAAAACCGGTCGGCGTAAGAATACACCAACCCTTTACAAAGATTGTCTCTGACTCTTGTAGATGATCATCACGTAACTAAGCATCAAAGGAAACTGCTTACACTGAAATGTAAACGATAGCTTTAGGTAAGATGGAGTTCAACTAAGTTTCGTAATAAAAAACTTTTGAACTACATTTTTTCCTGACATCATCTGAGTCTCGAGAATATGTGTTCCAAGTTTATTAATGATAAGGTGAGTGACATTACACAATATGAGAGAATGATCAATATTTCTCATTAGCACCACTACATGTCTACTCACTATTAGTTTCAGTTCATGGCTTAGCACACCAAAACATTTAATTATTTTAGAAATTCTAAGAATGGATCTCTTGAAAGAGTGCATAATCCGAGTTGGAAGAAGATGTAGAATCCGTCACTGTAATTAATTATTAATGTTATTAGTTAATTCCAATTCTGGTTTAATATTTTTTTACTTTCATTTTCAATATGAAAAACAACATATTTATCACCATTAGTTCAAACAATATTTGGCATAAAGTAGTAAAGTTTAGCTTAATAATTTGTGTTTAAGTATAATATTAAAATACACTACTATAATAATGAAAGTATAAAACTTAACATAAGCATGAATTGAATTATAATGATTTATTAATTTTACTTTATAAATTTCAAATAGATAATATATCTGACATTTATCTGCTCATGAGATGTCTATATATTTTTTATCAAATTAACGTATGTGCACCCAGAAGTAAACTTTTTTGGATATAGTTGTTATTATTGCACACGTTTCTACTTTTTTTCATGGGTTGTTTTAATAATAAATTCATGAAATCATCTTTTAAGAAAAGAATAGAAAAACATGTAAATCCATGTTGAAACAGAAAAAGAATACGATAGTATTAGGAATGAGACGTATAAGTCCATATAAGTCTTTGGCTACTCTTACCTTGGCATTTGGCAATTTGGCATTGACATGAAATAAGCACTTATATCATTCCAAAAAGGTATTAATATGCAATAGACATAAGATAAGTAGATAACAATGTTTGTACCCAAAACAAAATCATGTGAAAATCATCAAAGCATTTGAGGTACTTACGTGAGCTTAATATGAAAAAAATATTATGCTAAGACTTCCCTTGTATGCCCATTACATTGTTCCTCTACACATTGCAATTTATTATCTTATTTAAAAAAAATGATGCACAAATTTGTTTATACACTTCTTTTATTATTAAAAGTAAAAGAAAACAAACTTTTGGGATCCCGGAAAAAATGAGAAATTGAGAGAAAGGGGGGGGGGGGGCATGTAATCAATATGGGATGACAATTTCATTTGCATAAGTAGTTGGTCAGGTAACCACAACGGATTAACTACAAATACAATTCATAGATTAATTCACACATCTAAACATATTGTACAAATTAAATTGCAGGTTTTCAGTGCCAGGGGAGCAGGTGTTGTCACATCAAAACATTCAAATACTGACATCATCCATTATACTCGGAGTATTAGTTTTACAGGGCATAATCTATATAGCCTAACAAAGAGTACATTGAAGAGGAGCTTAGACTATATGAAAAAGAACATCTGTTATCCATAATACCAAAACATTCAAATACCAACATCATCCATTATATTGGTCTTACCGTGTACATGGCATCATCTATACACCCTAAAAAAGAATACATTGAAGAAAGAGGTGCCTATAGAAGATGGAAAAGAACATCTACTATCCCATGAAAGTCTTGCATTGCATTCTTGAAGCAAGGAGTACTGGTCTTCTCTCATGTGAGTAGACATACCAGCTAATAATTTGCATTTTTATCAACACCAAATGGAGTGATTTGGGAATAAATCCAATCCACTGCAATCAATTTGTGTTGGAAATTAAAAACTACTTAAAATCATAACGGTTTGGAGTTTAAAAAACATTGGAGCAATTAACTTTGTTATTAACTAATAAGTACATTTCCAGTAAAACTAAATAATAATGAAAGATACACAAATTTAGTTATATTTCCAGTAAAACTAAATATTTTTTTTTGCAAGAAAAACTAAATAAAATTAAACATTGTAAAGTAACATTTAAACTCGGGCTTGGAGAATACAACTAAAATATGGATCATTAAATGTACTTGTCTCAAGATCCACTAAATAATTTGATGGTGGAAGATTAAAAGTTTTTTTAAAAGCATTCTTAATTTAATGAATAACACAATTGGTCACGATTACAACATGCCATATGGTTTATATTTTCAACCTATCATAAGGTTTGTAAATTTAAATACTTTTAAGAGTGGCTGGACATCATTTTGTTTCAAGGAAATACTCAAACATTTCCAAATGGATAGATCAAACATAGCTTTATAGACATACTATCTTCTAAGCAGAGATTACAATTCTATGATACCTGGACCAAAGTTTAGGCCATACTTCCTCTGCTCCTACTTAAAAAGGGAAGAAAATAACAAAAATTACAAATTTACTACTAAAAATAAAGTCATGGTAGTCAAGAAATTAAGATGTACTGAGTAGGACAACTACTATCTAATGCTCCATGGGCTACGCATACTTGGCTAAAATGGAAATTAAATCAAACTTGATAATTATTGTTAGCCATGTCCTACTAAAGGATGTATAGCCAATGCTTTAATCCAATGTTGGAAAGTATTCGGCAAACTTAAATAAAAATTCTTTCAAGCAAAGACAAAATTCAAAGAAAAACAATCATATTTGAATGGAATGAAAGAAAAATGGGGATCCAAATCTGAAGTTAACAGAGTGACATAGGGAAGAGATTGCAAACAAACATGGATTGGATTGCAGAGAGATTGTCAAATTATTGAAGTGTGAAGTAAACATTGAAAAGGATGGAATGAATGAGTCATGGGGAGAAAAATATAAATGTTTGAGCAGTAGGTCTGAATTAATGCAATAGTGAGCTGGAGGTTAATGGTTACCGACACTTGAGCAAGAAATTAAACTTTCCACAAATGATTCCTATTATGTAGAACCGTACAAAGGATTAACGGTGAAACCAAGCTACTAAACTTATTGATCAACCCTAGATAATTCTTAAAGTTCAAGTCACTGGAAGTTTTTAAAACAAATAGTAACAAACCTGTAAGAATCTTATACGCCAGGCTAAGCGTATGCAAAGAAATACTTGACATTTTTATAATCGGGGCTAAAAGTAATTTAAAGCACTATCACATCAGCAAATAACACAAACATATATCAACATATTTGAATTGATATCGGTTTCTTTTCATGAATGTACTGTAATCATATAGAAGGAGAACTTAATGCAATTTCGGCATCTTAGGAGGATTTATCTCAAGGCTAATCGATTTGTTTGGGGAGAAAGGTGAAGGCCTTCAACAATTTCCGGTAAAGAAGATGAGAAATCAACTGAATGATTTCTTTGGCTAAGGGATTTGTGTAGGATATAAGCTAAAATGATTTCTGACGGA